ATGCATCTCTGAGGGCTTCAGCTTTTTCTTTTCGAGAAGCCGCCAGGTGGGCCCGCACAAAGTCCACAGCCTCCTGCAACCAAACCCTAAACCCTAAACCCTAAACCCTAAACCCTAGTCCCTAGGTCTACAGCCTGCGCCGCGCGCACTCGGGCCAATGCGCGGCTCCTCACAGACAAGAGCCAATCCCTAAGCCCTCGGCAAATCCCCACGCGCACAGCCCCAAACCCTAAACCCTAAACCCTAAACCCTAAAAAAGGGTTTCGCACCTGGTTCGTTTTGCAGTCCCAGATGCCGTCGCAGGCAATTATGAGAAACTCGTCTTCCTTGCAGACAGGCGTGACCCTTCAGCGAAGCAAATCAAAAAAACAAACCAACCATCAACAGCAGCAGCAGCAGCAACCCCAGCAGCAGCAGCAGCAACCCCAGCAGCAGCAGCAACCCCAGCGGCAGCAGCAGCCGCAACCCAGCAGCAGCAGCAGCATCCCCAGCAGCAGCAGCAGCAGCACCCCCACCCCTCCCCGCGCCATCCGCAGCAGCACCACCCCACTCACCACCACCATCAGCAGCAGCAGCAGCAAACTCCCCCGCACCCCCCCTCAGCAGCAGCAGCAGCAGCAGCAGCAGCAGCAGCAGCAGCAGCAGGACGAATCCGGCTCGTGGGGCGCTGGGACCGGGACTTTTCTGGGCGGGAGGAGACGGCGGACCTGACGTCGGGGAAGGCAGTGATCTTCTGCTTCTCGGGAGGAATGGATTTATCCTTTTTGTAAAAAAGATCTCCGAGAGATCTCGAAAGATTCAAGTTTCCGTCGACGCGGCCGTTGGCCACCGCGCCGCCAGCAGCAGCAATGCGCGCGCGCTCGCTGGGGTTCGTGGGCTTGTGGTCGTGCGAGAGTGGGAAGGCCTGCGGGGGTCGGAAAAGCGCAGTTTGCTGCAGTTTTGTTCCAACTTAGCTCGAATGAACTCCTCCAAACCCTCTATTCGCATGCAGCAGCTCCGACGGAGAAAGAGGCGCCAAAAAGCAGCCAAAAACTCCACAAACTCGCCGAAATATCCCAAAATCCGTAACGCATGAAGTGCAGTTCAAAACGAAATTTGAACTGCCAAATAACACTTGAAAGAGACTTGAGGGGAGATTTAAAGGAGATTTCAAGGGGACTTGAAAGAGATTTAAAAGAGCTTTAAAGGAGATTTAAGAGAGGTTTGAAGGAGATTGGAATGGAGATTGAAAGCAGATCAACTGGGTTTAAAAAGGGAGAAAAAAGACGCCAAAAGGGCCCAAAAAGCTCTAAAAAGGCCAAAAGGGGACAAAAGAGGGAAAAAATGAAACGAAAAACAAATGAAAAATAAACAAAATCAAACAACCAAAAACAATTAAAAGGACATAAAACAAATAAAGAATAAAAGCACTAAAAGAACAAAGACTGGATTCACTTGAACGCAAAAAAAGGAGCAAAAAAGCAAATAAAACAAAACAAAACAAACAAAAAAGCAACTAAAGCAGCAAACAAAGCAGAACAAAAGCACCCAAAACAAACCAAAAAGAAATAAAAGAAATAAAAGAAACGAAAGAAATAAAAGAAAAGGATTTACAAGTCCAGCTCTCGAAAGAACAGCTCTGGAGTCTCCAGCATTTGCTGCAACAATTAGCGGAGTTGCTGCATCCAAGAGGCAGCAAACAATTGCTGTTGAGCCGCAGCCTTCGGGGGAGGAGGGGTGGGGGTGTTCGAGCCGCTGCGGCGCTTCGGCGCCTGCTTCCAGCTCTTCTTCTGCTGCTGCTGCTGCTGCTGCTGCTGCTGCTGCTGCTGCTGGCTGCGGCGGCGCTGCTGCAGAGCTGGGGGACGGCGGGGGAGAGGCTGGCGCGCTCGGGGACCCCGGCCGGGGGCTCGAGGGCTCGCCGTCTCCTGCTGCTGCTGCTGCTGCTGCTGCTGCTGCTGCTGCTGCTGCGGAGGCCGCTGAGGTCACCTGGCCCCCTGCTGCTGCTGCTGCTGCCTTCGCCCCCTCAGACGCAGACACTCGCGGGGGGTCGCCGCGGGGAGACGAACTCCGCTGCCCTTTTGCTGCTGCTGCTGCTGCTGCAGACCGCCTGCTGCTGCTGCTGCTGCTGCTGCTGCTGCGCGGGCTCTCCTCGCTCTCCTCTCCGTCCGACTCGCTCGAAGGCGACGAGCTGCCTTCTCTCCCCGCTGCTGCCTCCTCGTCCTGCTGCTGCTGCTGCTGCTGCTGCTGCTGCTGCTGCCGCTCCGCCTTCGCCCCAATGTCCGAAGTGCTGTCCAGACGCCCCAAAGCCAGCGGCCGCGAGGCCTCCCCTTGAGGACTTTTTTCTGTTTCCGAAAATAAAATAAATAAACAAATAGAAATAAATAAATAAAAATAAATAAGTAAATAAAGACAATAAATCGATTTATTTCTTTTAATTCACCCCGCCATGACACCAATTATCGTGCTGCACGGACGCAGGCAAAAAACCCCGCTGCTGCAACGCCCACAAACCCTAAACCCTAAACCCTAAACCCTAAACCCTAGGAAGCCTGTTTTACCCCCCGCTGGCTCTTCTTCTTCCGTTTCCTCCTTTTTATTTTCTCCCTCTCCATCTTCATTTGCAACCATCAGCTGTACGTACACCCCAAGCACACACCAAGCATTTGCCAGCAGCAGCAGCAGCAGCAGCAGCAGCTGCTGCTGCTGCTGCTGCCGTGTAGAAGGAGCCACAATGACGAGCAGCAGCAGCAGAATGGAGATGAAACAAAAGACGAAATAAAGCATCAAGATGTCTATTTGAGCTGGAAAAAGCATCAAAATGCATCAAATTTGAAGAATTTGAAAATTTGAATAAATAAAATCCAAAACATCTTTAAAGTTCTTTAAATTTTTCGAAAGGATCAAAAACGGAGTTTTCCTTGCCTGAATATACCGCTGGCCGTCCATGTCAACTACACGGGCGTCGCCGCCGTTTCTCAAGAACCATTCCAAATAAGTTTCTGTTCCCATTTGTTCTTTTTGAGCCTAAGAAGCAATTCATATTTACTTAATTTTAATTTACTTCTCCTTTTCACTTCATTTGATGCAGCAGCAGCAGCAGCAGCAGAGATGCAGCAGCAGCAGCAGAGATTCAGCAGCAGCAGCAGCAGAGATGCAGCAGCAGCAGCAGCAGCAGCAGCGGCGGGAGAGCAGCAGCAGCAGCAGCAGCAGCAGCAGCAGCTCACGTCCTCGAAGAGTTTGAGGAGCGCGTGCCTGCTTTCTGGAGTTTGGATCTTTTCATCAACAGCAAGAAAAGCATCTTCAAGGGCCTGGCAGACCACTGCCACGCTGCTGGTCATGAAGCTGCTGCTGTCCTCCTCCTCTGCTGCTGCTGCTGCTGCTGCTGCGGCGGTGTCGCCTGCTGCTGCTGCTGCTGCTGCGGCCCGGTTGCTGCCGCGCGGCAGCTGCTGGTGCTCCGCAGCCATCTCCGCCCGCACCGCCAGCAGGCACTCCGAAAAGATCTGGAAAAGAGGCAAAACAGTAAATCCAATTAATTCAATTAATTAAATAATTAGATTAATTAATCAAATAACTAGATTAATTAATTAATTTAATTAATTAAACAAGCAATAATTAATTAAGCTCCAAGAGAAGGCCCTCCTCCACGAAAACGCCGCGTCTGCCGCCCCCAGACACCACCCGCAGCCGCAGCCGCAGCAGCAGCAGCCGCAGCAGCAGCAGCAGCAGCAGCAGCAGCAGACCCGCAGCAGGTTCGCAGCAGTCCACTGGCTAACGGCGTTGCTGCCGTGGCCATCAAAAACCCCATAAACCCCAACATCGGAAATCCCCATATCTTCGAGGGCCTCGAGGGCACTGCCGCACTCCGCGCCCAGGGGGGCCCCCCGGGGGCCCCCGTGGGGGCCCCCCTGGGGGCCCCCCTGGGGGGCAGCCCCTCGAGGGGCCCCCTGGGGGGCCCCCTGGGAGCCCGGAGAAGCCGCAGCAGCCTTGGGGGCCACATAGGGGCCACTGGGGG